AGGAGTATGAGGTTTAGCAGTGGGACATGGAGCTAGACTGTGCGAGTAGAAGAGAGTGATGAGTAGCTAGCGATTGGAGTTTTTTCATATACTTGTTGGGCACTTATGGCTAGAAAGTAGCGTTAGAGTCGAGCAATGAATTAGAGCAGAGTAGTAGATTAGAGGGGATTACTTCAGAATGAGTAGTATTTAAGTGAGGGGAGATGTATTTAAGAGTAAGATTTATTGGGGTAGAGTAAGTGCCAATGCTGAGATGACATAAGTCGTGGTTATCTTAGGGTAAGTGCTTGCCAAACAGGTAGTGATGTACGAGAATGTATGAGTCTGGTATATAAGTAGGATGATAGTTGAGGTATAGTTAGTAAGGTAGAGCTTAAAGTATATCTAATTCATGTAGTTAGAGTAATTTAGTAATAGCAGTTAAGAGTATGTCAGTAGTTAGTACATAAGCTTTGTACAGGAGATATAAGAGAGATATATGAGTAAGTCATATTATTAGTAGGTAGGGGTATGGGATCAGTGTTAGGATCGGTAGTCAAAAGCGCTGTGCTTACTGCAGTGGACTATCAGCACAGACCGATAAGAATATAATTTGACACTATTATTTGAGTACATAATAAGTTTTTTTGCTTCTTCTAGCAGTATGATGATTCTCCATCAAGTTTCATAAGTAATTTAAAGTTTCTCAAAGGTACTATTAATTGCGACAATTAATAACAGTTTAATGTGTGTTAACTAGTATTAAGTTTTTAGTATATTATTCGCCTTTTACATGTCTTTGGTTTAGTGTGGTTGGCGCAACAGCCTATCTATACCACTTGTCACTTGGATCAATTGCTGATCGATGATCATAATGGTATGGTAGGGTAGCAGTATGCATACTTTCCTTTGAACAACTACCTTGTATGCTCTCACTATAAGTTTCTTTGTTTTTCTTTTATGAACGCCACGGCAATCTTATGATATGAATGTTCATTATATTTGCGACTACTGGATTTTCAAACAGTTATGGAAAATGGGAGTATAAGTAAAAAGTAGTATTTAACCAATTCCCCGAATGAGGTGAATTTTCAACTTATATACAATACCGCCTCTTCCTACTTTTGCAATCTGTATCCTCGGCTCAGCTCACAATTGCATACCACATGAAATATTTGCTTACAAATTAACTGCAGAATTCAAGGCGCGTAGAGCTCATTCTTTGTATTGTGCTAATATAATGTCACTTGAGAGCTCCGCTATCACACCTTACTGCGCTTAGAACAGCAAATGAGATGAACTGTAATATGTGTAGTCCTGATTATGAACTATGACGATGAAGGGTGTGTAGTACATGAAATAATGGGGTATAGTATAGTATAAGAATTTAGAAATAAATCAGGGACAGCTACAATATGCTAATTGTTTTGGTGAGGATAAAACATATAAATATCATACAAATCATGTATATGGTAATATAATATTCTTTTAGTGATGTTTCACAAGTATAGTTGTATTTGCTACCATTTTGTTGGGCCTGACATATTGTCAAGTTACAATCTGTCTTTTCAATTAATCTATTACAGTAATAAATTATCTTATTTACATCTCATGAGAACATTGACATAGTAGTCCAATACAGAACCATAGTTGCTTATGATATAGAAGTCCACCTTAACTGTACTTGAATCGTTGATGTGCATATATGGGACATAGTTCGGCAATAAACAAATTACAGTTTCCAGGTAACTTCTGGCAAGCCAGATTCCAATGTTTGCAAGAGTAGGTTGGGATAGAGGCAGGTAAACCTGTAGCCACTTCCCGCTGAAGTTAGTGGAGTCATACAGATTTCTGAAAAAACTAATATTCCGGCTTTGCAGTGGTTACAGTAGAACATATAAAGGTGGTTATATGGTTCATAGTTAGTAGAACAAAATCGGACATTTCTGAGAGGGTCATATGGTACTGTTTGTTCGGTAAAAGTATTGTGGTCGTACGGGTATAAGTGAGGTTAACAATTAAGTAAGAGTTGTTAAATAGATAGTGTTATTTATGATATCTGAATAAGGAAAATGTAATGGATATCTGAAGAAATTAATATAATGAATAGGGTTAAGGGAATAAACTGATGAAGGGTGTATCTTTGCTGGGTTTGTTATGCTTATATTTAACCATTCTTAATGAAACAAAGCTGGTAAATAAAGCATGTATTAAATATCAAGAGAAGTAGCAAGGAGAAGAGTACTTGGGAAAGGAGGTGAAGTTATCAGAAGAGGCGTCAAACAAAGAGAGGAGGAATCTGGAGGAGAGAATACCTGCTGCTTAAAAGACAAGATAATCGCATGAAGTATCCAGGTGAGAAGCAGGAGTGAATAATAGCGAGAACTCCAAAACAAGGAATAGTGTAAAAAATGAGAAAGAGATGTAATTGGTGAGTTTGTTTGAAACGGAGTAGGAGTGATTGAGGAGTAGTGGGGAACCTGCGATGCGAGGACTGTGATATATTCGCAAATACTTTGATTGTTAGTTGGGATTATTAGAGGTTTTATATAAGTTAATATCTATTATATATAAGTCAGTGTTAACACGCTTTGAATTATAGATAATGCGTATGTCATCCCTTATTTCAATTCAAGATTTTGTAAACATTTTTACCTTATTTACTGTTATATATACTTAAAATGCTGCTAAACTGTTAACATACACTACTATGTCCTATCAATCATTATTTTGATGATCCTGTTTTCTAGTTTCTTGTTTTTCTGTTATTTTCTTTCTTAGTTAATATGTTGGGAGATGATCCGATAATTCAAAATTGATAATGTTTATAGCATCATTGATTTTTATTATAAAGTATTAATATTTAATATTTAGGGTCACTATGTTATATTAGTTGTGTGGATGTGAAATATGAACTCGATAATGTATAATGCCGGGATGTTGGTGTAGTATGTAGCAAGAATAGCAGAAGAAAAATACAGGTATTGGCTCTGGTATTTAAAATGATGCATGTTAGAATGTTTTACATGAATAAGATAGCATTAGTGATTCAGAGATTAGTATTACTATATAACCCGCACGCTAAGATGCACTGGTGACGACGTACGCTACAGACTAGAATAGAGGATGGAGGATGGATGACGGAGAGAGAGAACATTTCTTGGGTATGGTATAGCAATTTTTGGATGTCTTTAAGAGTTTCTGGAGGGGATTGCGTAGGGAGGTCTGAAAAATGAAGGATCTCTTGTGAGAAGAAGAAAAGGAGGTAGATGTTCGAGGAGCAGAGGAAAAGGAGTGTATGAGAAGGCGAAGATGGAGTAGAATGTTTGGGTTCTGGTGCAATGCGTAAAGTGAGGGGGAGAAGAGGTAGGTATCGGAAAAGTGGTAGAAATTGGAGTATCTAGATTTAGAATGGATAAGGGATTTGATTGGCAGACAGGGAGAGTAGAGCTAGGATGGTTCAGGGTAGAGGGAAGAGATACTGGGGGAGATGCAGAAACATCTTGTGGAGATAGGGAAGGTACTGAGCAAAGGACTGTTTTGGAATAGGTAAGGAGAGAAAAACCACGTCATTGTGCTTCCTGTCTAGTCTTACGTAGGGTGAGGCCTAGTTTGAATCTGAGAACTGCAACCTCACATTCGTGTGTATAGGCAGGGCAGCTCCGTTAAAATTTGTTATGGGAGTCACCACAGTTGGCACATGTACAGGACTGAGCAGGGCCATTTGAACAGTCATGACCAGGTTGGGCATATAGAGGGCAGCGGGCTGTGAAGGGACAGTGTTTGGCTGGGTGGCCAAAAGAGCAATATTTCTGACATTGACTAAGAAGGGATCGATATGATCAGACATGGTAGGACAATCCACCAACATAAACTTCAAGGGGTATGTCATGTCTACGGAAGCTAATGTTGGCAATATTGATATGGGACTTATGTTTGCCTCTTGGAGGAATAGCGTAGGACTGTACTGCTACTGCATCATAATCAGTAAGATAGGTAAGTATGTAATTTTCATATCTGACCAATTCTTGTCATACATGGGATAATCAGTCAGGATAGAAACAGTTCCAGTACAAGTATTAAGAGAGAGGTAAGGTTCAGCAGGGATGGGCTTGCCAGTAAGGTCAGCTAGGATAGATAGTCCATGAATTTGGGATTCTGATGTAACTGTGATAAGTCATGAACAATCAGAGTGACTGCAAAAGGTAACTTTACCTACTTTTTTTTGGAGGCACTGTTGAAAGAGAAGGGAGCCTTGGGGGAGGGGGGGGGATCACAAAGAATGGATCCCACTTGGCCTGGCCAAAGAGAGTACTCAAAGGGTTTGCAGAGGGAGAAGCAGTAGAAGGATAAGGGTGCATGAAAGATGGGGTGGTGTGGTGTGGAGTAGTTCAGTGGGGGGGCGAACAGTAAGGATGAAGAGTAGTAATAAGGGAAGAGGGGGTAGCCATTGAAGAAGTCTGTGCAGTAGGAGATGGAGAAGAGAATATTGGGAGAGAGGAAGGGGTGCATTCTGGAGGTTGAGTAATAACTTGGGTGGGTGATTCAAAATGGATAGACTTGTCAGTAAACGTCGAGGGGTTTTAGAATCAGTAGTCAGAGGCATGGTTAAAGGCGTCGGAAAACCATCAAAATCGAGATCAGATAGGCTACTTAATGAAGGGGTAAGCCTTAATGCCCTTATTAAAGATAAGAAATCTTCATTATTGGACATGGTGAGCCTGAATAAAATGGGGAAAAGAAACGGTCAACCCCTCAGGGCCCTATATGGGATAAGGGCTAGGCAATTAACCAAGGGAATACTGTGTCTATGGCTCCAAGAGGCCATTCATGACTGACATAAAGCCAATCTTTCATCCTTTCAGCATGGCTCTCACACCTTAGGAATGGGACAGAAGATGGAGATGAAGAAGATACAAAAGAGGAATGGAGGAGAAGAAAAGACCAAACAAAATTAGTTGAAGCGAGGGCTGAAGTCCAAGGTAGGGGCAATCCGTACATTGGGCTCTAGTCTTTGTCTCCTAAGCCCTACCACGACAATAACGAGCAAGGTACTGGGAGGGAAGTGGTATAAAAAATAATGGAAATAAATAAATAATAAAATAATAATATTAATGATATGATGATAATGATAATGATGATAATAATAAATGATAATAATAATATGATGATTAATAATGATGATAATAATAATAATGATGATAATAATAATAATAATAATAATAATAATAATAATAATAATAATAATAATAATAATAATAACTACAACAAATGAATGGATCACATTGCCTTGACGACAAATACATACCCTTAGTGTTGAGTCCCCTGCAGCAGTTGCCCTCAGTTCATCTCTATACATGGCATGAGGTAATGGCAAGGCAGATGAAGCTGCAGCAGATGCATAGGCTCTCATTCTCCTCTTGTGTGCATGTTGCAGGAAAATGATTACAAGAATAGCAGTAATCACAACCAAAAGTACTGGCACCACATGGAGCACCAAAACACTCATTATTTCTGAGTCTTCCCCCTTCCCTGGAAGCAAGCAGAAAAGGAATGTCATGACTTACACTAAAAAAATGTATACGCAAGACTCTATGACCATTCAATTTACAAAACAATGTTATGTCATTTTCACAGTAGAAGGGAACCTTCATCAATCTGTTTACTCACTGATGTCAGCTGTAGGTAAAACAGGAAAGCTCCCATTATTACAGTAGTTGGTATGACAACAATCAATCTTGAAAGAATTTTTGTGGATCTCTTTTGAGGCACACTGCATGAGGACTTGCTCTGGCATCTTGATACAGCCCCTTGACTCATTTTCTTCCCCATGTTCTGATCGAGTCTTAGCCTTCCAGCACTGGAGCAGAATGGATACATTTCAGTTTGAGATCCAAAACTGACTATGCACTGTAGTCTTATTAAAGCAGCCTCTCTATAGATCCTTCATTAAAAAAAAACATTAATCCTTTAAAGAAGGTATATGGTGACAGGCCCTGATTTATTTGTGATGTAATATTATGCAATAGTCTAGACTTTATGACTAGGCTTAAGCTGTGTATAGCTAGCAAGCCTGCTGTGAGACATTACATGTTTACACGTCATAGGCTGTTGTATCCTGATGGTTATAGCCATACCCATCACTGAGGTGTTAACTACATCTCAAATTTTTTATGTTCTTACTAAAAGGAATCAACATAAAATCTAAAAGCATTTATAATACAAACATTCCATCAAAAACAGGTATTTTTTCCCATCCATATAATCTAATAAGATTATACCATGACAAATTACACTAGCTTATACAACAGTCAACATCATACCATACCATGATAGCATTATGACACTCAGTGATATGGTTGCAATGAGGTCTAAGACATTTGATGCAGGAAATTCTTTCATAATCTTCATTCCAATCTCTGAACACTGGCCAGTTTCTTGTCTCTGAGGTGCCACTGCCACTACCACTACTTTCGCTCTTTTCTCCTCCAGTCGTATTCTGAAGGAGGACTTGGAACACCCCATCTACATCAGCCTTCTCAGTATCTGAAATCTGAAGAAATACCTTTGTACTGTGTTGCGTCTGTAGTTGAGGGATTTGAGATTAATATGAGTTGAAGAAGAAAGGGAGAGAAATAAAAAGAGAAAGGGGAGAGTGGGAGAGAAAATTATTGAAGGAAGGTGAGAGGGAGAGAGGAGGAGGGAGAGAAGGGACCTAGAGGAAGAGAAGAGGGAGATGGGAGGTGAAAGGATATTGGGGAGACGGGGAGAGGGAACTGAAGGAGGGGAGTATATAAAAAAGGGGAGGGGGAGATTTGGAGAAAAAAGAGAGAAGAGAGAAGAGAGAGAGAGAGAGAGAGAGAGAGAGAGAGAGAGAGAGAGAGAGAGAGAGAGAGAGAGAGAGAGAGAGAGAGAGAGAGAGAGAGAGAGAGAGAGAGAGAGAGAGAGGGGGGGAAGGGGGGGGAGGGGAGAGGGAAAGGGAGGAGAGAGGGAAAGGGAGGGAGAGAGAGGGAGAGAGGGAGAGGGAGAGAGGAGGAGGGAGAAGAGAGAAGGAGAGAGAGGAGAGAGAGAGAGAAGAGAGAGAGAGGAGAGAGAGAGAGAGAGAGAGAGAGAGATGAGGGAGGAGAGAGAAGAGAGAGAGAGAGAGAGAGGAGAGAGGAGAGGAGAGAGAGAGGAAGGAAGAGAGAGATGAAGAAGAGACGAGGTAGAGAGAGAGAGAGAGAGGAAGAAGACGGAGAAAAAAAAAGAGAGAAAAGAGAAGAGAGGGAGGAAGAGAAAGGAAGAGAAGAGCCGGTGAAGAGAGGGACGGAGCGGAGAGAGGTGTGGGTCGAGATGCGACGAGGGGAGGAGAGAAGGAGAGACGAGAGCGCGAGGGAAGGGAAGGTGGGAGATTGAGAAGGGAAGATGAGGCTAAGGAGGAAGACTATGGGAGAGAGGGAGAGAGAGGGAGGGCAGTACAGATAGGACCGGGGAAGAGAGAGGAGGAGAGCGAAGAGATGGGAGTGAGAGGATTGAGGAGAGAGAGAGAAGGCGAAGGAGCGATGGAAGCTGAGGAGGTGAGGGAGGGAGGAATGGAGGTGAGAGAGAGAGGAGATAATGATGAGAGAGTGAGAGTGAGAGAGAAGGGAGAGAGGAGAGAGATGAGCAGAGAACGAGGACGGAGAGGGAACGAGAGAGAGAGAAGAGAATGAGGAGAAAGGAGGAGGAGAGGAGAGAGAGAGAGGAAAGAGAGAGCAGGTAGGGACGGGGCGATGTAAACCCAATACTAGGGTGGAGGGAAGGAGGGAAGGAGGGAGGGAGGGAGGGATGGGAGGCGCCGAGCGTTTGTAAGTGAGGAAGGAGGAGGACGGGAGAGAGGAGACGAGAAAATGAACTGGGAGAGAGGCGGACTGAAAGATAGAGTTGAGAGAGAGAGAGAGGAAAGAGAAGAGAGAGAGGAAACCGAGAGAGAGAGAGAAGAGCGAGAGATGAGAGAGACAAGAGAGGAGAGAGATAGAGAGAGGAGGGAGGAGGGAAGGAGGAGGATGGGAGGAGGGAGTGGGAGGGAGGAGAGGGAGGAGCGAGAGAGAGAGGAAATGATGAGGAGAGAGAGAGAGGAGAGGAGAGAGGGAGAGGAGACGGACAGAGGATAGAGGAGAGGGAGAGGAGAAGAGAGAGGAGGAGAGAGAGAGAGAGAGAGGAGAGAGAGAGGATAGAGAGGAGAGGGAGAGGAAAGATCGAGGAGGAAGGAGAGGAGAGGAGAGAGGGGAGAGAGGAGAGAGAGGGAGAGAGGGGAAGAGAGGGAGTGATGTGAAAACTGGTGAGCGTAAGGACGTGAGTGAGTGGTGGGTGAGTGAGTGAGTGGAGTGGAGTGGAGTGAGAGAGAGTGAGAAGAGAGTGTAGTGAGTGAGTGAGTGAGTGAGTGAGAGTGAAGTGAGAGAGAGTGAGTGAGAAGAGGGTGAGAGAGCGATTGAGAGGAGAGTGAGTGAGAGTGAGTGGTGAGAGAGAGTGTGAGAGAGAGAGAGAGGAGAAGAGGAGAGAGAGAGGTGGAGTAAGAGAGAGAGAGAGAGGAAGAGGGAGAGAGAGGAGAGAGGAGAGAGAGGAGAGAGAGAGAGAGGAGAGAGAGAGAGAGAGAGAGAGAGAGAGAGAGAGAGAGAAGAGAGAGGAAGAAGAGACAGAGAGAGAGAGAGAGAGAGAAGAGGAGAGAGAAGAGAGAGAGAGAGAGAGAGAGAGAGAGAGAGAGAGAGAAGAGAGAGAGAGAGAGAGAGAGAGAGAGAGAGAGAGAGAGAGAGAGAGAGAGAGAGAGAGAGAGAGAGAGAGAGAGAGAGAGAGAAGAGAGAGAAGAGAGAGAGAGAAAAGAGAGGGAGAGAGAAAGAGAGAGAGAGAGAGAGAAGAGAGAGAGAGAGAGAGAAAGAGAGAGAGAGAGAGAGAAGAGAGAAAGGAGAGAGAAAGAAAGAGAGAGAGAGAGAGAGAGAGAGAGAGAGAGAGAGAGAGAGAGAGAGAGAGGAGAGAAGAGAGAGAGAGAGAGAGAGAGAGAGAGAGAGAGAGAGAGAGAGAGAGCTCAAACCACCACCCCCAGTCTTACCTTGGATGAGTTCTCCTTGGTGCCTTGACTGGCCATGAGATCAGCCTTGAAGCCTCCATCATTGCCGTAAACATAATCCCCATTGGCATCTTTCACTCCTCTTGCCTCACTTTCCTCTCGGCTGTCTCTCGCAGGCAGGTCACCCTCATTGATTTTGTCTCTGTTCACCCCCAAGGCATCTAGAGGGGTAGAGATTAAAGGTAATGCATGATAATAACACAGAGTATCAACAATAATAAAGACAATAATAATATTATATATGTCAATGACTGCCAAACTCTTTTGGACTCTGGGTTGATGACCCTAAGAACACACACATCATCTCAGTGATTTCTTCATTATCTCTAAACTATTGTCCTGTCCCATGATCTCAGCCATCCATCATATTCCAAAGTTGTGATACATTACTTTGCATTGTTAACATTTTTATGATTTTTTTTTCTACCACCCTGCACATCTTTGAGACCCCATCCATAGAGTGTAATCAAAATAAAGGTTGGTTCTATCAGTAAATGGCAAATTTCATTAAAAACAAGCATGCGTAGTTTCCATAAAATAGGCACTTGGACATATTTTTCAAGTGTTCTAGAACACCTCAATTTAGGTTTTAATGGATACAAGTCTTGAAATACTAAAAAAAAAATTATACCTCATTTATAACAATTGGATCAGGAGTTGCAGTATAATCACAATTTAAAGGTTTAACAAATGAGCCTTTTGTTTAATGGATGAAGCATTAGAAGTCAGTGAAATAATTGTCATACAAATAAATGTTTTCTCATGCTTAATGAAAGGCAAATAACATTTTTGTCTGAGTAGATAGATAACAGAAATTTTCCACTGTTATTAAGTGAAACTTAAGCCATAGTGCATTGTAATATGGATGTCCTTGACCATGACCTTATCCTTGAGGGTCAAACGGGCAAAATGGCAAACACAGCAGACAGGTTTCCAACATGGTGGCTCCCATAGGCAGAGTACGGAAAGATTGAGCACCAGGAAACTTTATAGAAATGGAGTTTCAACCCTAAAATACTTGTGCATATGCAATTTATGGTGTGTCATGATCTCTAGGGGGTGTATTTTGTAGGGTAAATCTACTTTAAATTCAAATTCTTACAACTTTGTGCAGAATGAACAAAGATTGACTGGACAAAAACAAAGTAATTCAAGACATTCCAGACTTTACAATGACAGCAGTTACTACGAGATTTGAGCAGAGCTGGTTTCCATGAAACCATATTTTCATACAAAGGCAGTGCTATGGACGGAAAAAATGATGTCATTGCGACAGCCGCAATCGAAGTTCACAGTATAAGAAATGTCCAAGTGCCTACATAAAATGAAGTCTTATTTTTTAACCCTTCCTTAAATTCTTTGTATTCTCTTTTTCTGCAATTTTTTACTTCTTTTTCTGTCTTCAATTGTTTATATAATTTTCCCTATGAAAACATATTTTTTGGCAGTATTGCCATGTGAAATAATTCTTTATTTTCAGCATGGGGAGGGTAATCTCCCCACCCCTGCCCAAGCCCTAATAAAACTTCCTGTTGATTTGTGGCAAATGATCTACAGTATGATCATTAACAATACAATAAGGTAACATCAAGTGATTGCAGTGGGCTCAGAAATTGGACAAGTCTACAATTTCGATCTTGGTAGAAATGTATGTTGGTCTTTGCTGGAGCACTTACAGGTATTCAAATAGTTCCGAATGGCAGACATGTTGGGTCTTCTACGCATTTACTTAAAATGCTAATTATATTAGTTGTAATATACCCAAATCTACTGTAAATGGCCAAAAAATGACCAAAAGCATTTCCCATTTGATTAAACAAGCAAAATATTTTCTGGTGTAAAATCATTCTTATCCAATCCAATTGTTAAACATACATATTTCAACATTATTATAGCTGAGGAATTGCAGTCTTTGGGGGTTAACCAATTTACAGCACGTGACACTGTCATGTCATTGTGAAAAATCTCCAGGTGATGCTTAATCAGATCATGAGCCCATTTATCAGTGGCTGGGATAATGCACAAGAGCCTGGCCAAGAGCTGGACAACAGCCCAAGACCGGAGTAGCTTGCACTGATGCACTAGAAGTATGTGACAATGCTGGGGAAACTAAGAAAATAAACTGACAGTCATATATGGTAAATATACCAATATAATCAGGAAATGAACTACTGCTATGGAGTCGCCATCCACTAACCCCTACACTTGTTCGCAAATTTCCTCCACGCATACCCGGCAAGATGGTGAATCTCTCTCCATCAATCAATGAATATTACAGAATTTGAGGAATCCATCGTTCTGCAACAGTATTTGACATCACTGCCCATAATCTGAATAATTACCCCATAAATCTGTTTTCATAATTCACCACTTTAAAAGGAAATTTTTAAAATAAGACCACAAGGTAATCAGTAAATCAATAAAATAATGAGAATTTGACTTTTCTTTGAAGAAAAACTTATCACTCAAAAGCATGACAACATAAAATGTCGCTTACTTATCAACACGAAACTAAATTCCAATAACCTGCAGCTATTTTTCTAAATCTAAAGCATCATAACAAATTCCCCCACGCCTTCCCGCAGCCCCATACCACATCATCTAATGTTAAAACAGCCCACAGGCACAAAAGCCACGAGTCCACATTCTCCACCCATAGGCCCTGCATTCCACAATACAATTAGGAGAAAAAATCCTATGACCAGAGGCCCGTCGCCGCAGCTCCCTGGGCAAAGGTTCCCCCTGCCCAATCAAAGCTCATAAAAATGCCTTTCTCTCTTACAATAACATTTACACGCCCGTCCTCCCTCGTTGCACCTTCCCAGGCCTGCGCGAGGGCGTGACAGCGAGGAAAAATCCCCCCCGTCATTCAGCGAGTGTGGCGGGCGTGGAGGTGCAAGCGATGGAGAATGTCTTTGCGATTATGACTATTGTTGGTAATAATACTTGGAATAGTAGTAAGTTCTCTCTCGTGCCCAGACATTGTGGCGCCGCTCTATCTCTCGGTTCTGTGGCCTTGTCTCTTTATTTCTGAACTTTTGCACTTCATGTTGAGTAACTAGGTGTCATCTTAATAATCTGCCGGACCAAAAACATTTATCCTACCGTCAGGAACACGGCATGACGTTAATGTTATTGACAGCACGTAGAGCAGAGTGTATAAGAGGGTCGCCATCATTACCCACTGAAAAGTCTATACTTGCGTTAACAATTGCAATGTTGAAAAGACAAAATAAAATACAAAACTAAAATCCGCGCTAAAAAATCATCTAATAAGTATCCTATTTACCTTTTAAAATTACTACATTTATTTCTATGATTTATTTTCTTGGTGCAATGAGTTACTCTTTTGACTTTCTCGCCAGTTCGTTTGTTATTATGCGAAGAAAATTGAAACTAGAACTTATCATTATGAAAAAAGCGTGCAAAGGCGATCAATTGCGTTTAAAATCAGACGGAATTGAGATAGCACTTCATTACTTCCTTTATCAGAATACTATTTATCTTTCGCTTTCAATTAGTTTCTGGATTTAAGCGAAAAAAAAACACATTAATTATAGTCGATCCTTAACAATAAGACGGAATTGATAACATTGATTTATAATGGGGATGACAAATTAATAAACAAAAGGTAAAATACAAATGGTGCTAATTCTAAATCTTTTGCTACTACAACTACACTGCTATTACTACGACGGCGACGGCGATAATGCCTACTGCTACTACTCCTACAACTGTTGCTACTACAACTACTACTACTGCAGTTACTACTACTAGTGCCACTACACTACTACTACCACTATTACTACTACTACTACTAAACCTTTTTCATAGACAAGTGTTTCCAAACCTTTTTGTGTAGGAACATTTAAGCCTTCACTTTGTATTAACTACAAAAAAAAAAAAAAAAACATAATGGATGATGTACCTACTGGCCTACGTTTCATTTTGGGCTCTTTCGTAGTCCATTCGATGTAAGGAGGTACCGTAGCGTAAGATTTAATAATCAAGTTCCTTCGGAGCACAATATTACAGCTTGGTAGCGAGAGAAGGATATGCTGCATCTCATTCAAGCTTCCAATTGCTCCTTGGTTTGCTGTTCTTCATATAAGAACTTTAGCGTGGCTTGCGTAGAAAGATGCGCTCACGGTCACTGTATTCCTCCCAAAGCTGAAAAAAAAATCATGGTGTGAAAGTGTGCTTTGCATGTTTTTGATTCTTTCCGAACTACGCTCTAGGTTTTCTACATTTTCATTTTGCTTACGAGCTCCTGTCTGATGATGCGAATCCATAGGTTTGAAGATTTTTGATGTGAAGATTGGCCTCTGCCCAAGTACCTAGAATTCTTAGTAGCTTGGGTCAACTGTTGCCCCATTTGATAGGTCCTCGTTCATTTTTCCTTTTTTCGGTTGATACAGCTTTAACTTCATCATGGAGAAAGAAATTCTCCGTTCTTGTACTTTGCGCGGCCATCATGAAAATAATATCCACATAACCTTTTAATACACGTTTTACTAGCCTTCTAAACGGAGAGTTTATGGCCCTTGGGTTTGATACACCTGTTTTCTGTGCTGCTTCTACCTACAACATTTACTTGTCCATCTTGTCTTGCTTAGCGATCTTATCATAGCAGTGAGATGTCATACTTGAAATTAGCTTTAGCGAGTATTGATATTCGAGTTTACGATGACAATTCATCATAGGCGTGGAGGTAGGTAGTCTCGGGAGGTGATGGGTGTTATACTCCAGATTCTTCTGCAGAGCTGGGATGAATGTATCCTTTGAAGCAACTCCAGGGTTATGAGATAGCCGTCGATGTCTGATTCCGTGGATGAAATATGTAAAAGGCGTATGGAGATTTGTTGTAGTTTCGAAAAGCTATTAGCGTTTACCCACTTCTGTATTTTGTATTTGATGTACTCGAATTTGGAGTCTAGGGACTGGTTTTCGATGGCGCTGACCAGCAGCTGCAAATATTTTAAAACATGATTGTAGTGCTTTGGCTTTGCAATAAGATTTTTTCCCACTTACGGTAGATCATATATAAGTCTTCATATTTCTTGTAGTTGTCAGATAATAGGTGAATGGTATTTGTTCAAAGTTAATGTTGTCATAAGCGATTTTCTCCTGTAGAAATAACATTCTCAGTGGATACATTTCCAAGGCAACTGGTGCCTATAAAGTTTACGCGGGCTTTATTCCCATTTTTTGGTATTACCTACGTTGGAATATTATGTCGTTATACAGGATAAAACAGCATGGACCCAGCAACGCTACTTCACATTTTTCCAATCCAAGTATCTGCCAGAACGAATATTTAAACAACTCGCACAAGGGTATAGAACTCGTCGTCGATGATCATTCTCAGCCCTTTTAAAGATTCATATTGCACAGCAGCTCAATTTCTTATAGAGAGGTATAAGTAACAGAATAGAAGGGGACGGGACCCAACTATTGCCCCTGCCTCCCCCCCCCCCCCACATACACACACTCCTCAACATTCGAGGACATTCCCTGTAAACAGACAAACTGCATTTCCTTACCCAACTTGAGAATACTGACCCCCTGCAACTGACGGGGAAGCTACAACTTTCTTTCAAGATGAAATGAGTATTATGTCAAATATTATCTAAATAAAAATGTAACATTTCGATTTAGAAATTAATGAGTTATCTCTTTAAAACTGCTAAATTGCATAAGCTTTGGGGGCTTCGCCCCCTGTTCCCCCACCGAGGCACTGCCCCAAGACCCCGCCAGTGGTCTTAGGGCAGGGCACCCGGCTATTATTTGGGAGAGCTACTCCCCCCTTCAAAATACCTTCCTATGCCTATGAGTTGATGTTAGTGCATTCGATTTATAGACGGAAGACGTTTTCCTGGCAAACTTGGTATTGTATACATCGTTTAGCTTATTCTTGTTAAGCACTGTTTTGAATAGGAATAGTAATGTAAATGAAAATAATGCTGCTGCTGATGGTGAAATGATAATATTAATAATAATAAAGGTGATAATAATGATAATGATGATGGTGATAATAATGATAATATTGATAACATTATTATGATAGTATGGTAATGATATTAGTGATGATAGTAATGAATATGATCATACTAATAACAATAATGATCAATGATAATAATTCTATTAGATGATGATAATAAAAAAAAAATCATTAATATTATATATTACTAAAAGCAAGTCGAAAACAATCGAGATAGCCTACCCCTACAAAAGGAAGGCTGAAGTTACGAATTATAATTGAAAATGTGTCTCGGTTTCACTACCTAGTATACAGTTCGAAGTGCCTGCGGTAATCTTGATCCTCTGTAGGCTTAGTAATGTCAAGTGTAACAGTGTCAGTCAGAGTCAGCAACTGCATTATACGTTCAAGTAACTTTTTTTCTTTATTTCCTTTGTTAGAATCTTGTTTTTCTTACCATGTCATAGGCATTTATACTTGTTTTCAAGCGGTCTCTGAGAAAATATCTATCAATTTCCTTTATATTCACATTACTAGAACTATGATATTTGGTCACTGTAACAGGAAGGTCATTATGTTTATCATTATAACCTTGATTATGGGTATTTATTGCAAGGGTGTCATTATATTGTTATATATGGTAGTAGTGTATATTTTTAATAATATATTCTGCTTATATATATATATATATATATATATATATATATATATATACATATACATATACATTCATAAATATATATATATATATATATATATATATATATATATATATATATATATATATATATATATATATATATATATATATATATATATATATGCATGTGTGTATACATATGTGTTTAAGTATATATGTGTGTGTATACTGTATATATATATAGGTATGTATGTATGTACACATTTCTGTATGTATATATATAACATATACATATAAACACACATACACGCGCGCTTAGTACTTAGTGTAATAATATCCTCATTAACATCATCAAAGTTACTAATATTGCACGATACAGTGTAGCATCAACTTTGAACTTCCCATTTTCTTCCAGTTTTAAAACGGGCAGAGGTGCTCCGCGCGCTCTTCAGCCAGGTGCAGTTGCTTATATATGACTCCGCCCCCATAAATAGGGGCGGAGTCATAGGAAACTGTAGTACTACACCTCTTGGCGCCGGAAAAAAGACCTAGTATCATGTAACCATATGCCATTGTGAGAAGGAATCCATACTGATCGTATATGGCATCTCCACTAATAGTAATTATATTAGTGACATTGAGAACTACAGTGCCATTGATGATAATAAAGGGATTGTGTACCTTTGGGAAAACATACCGACTTAGCATCGTTTGCAGGGCTTCCGCCAAGACAGAACAATAGTGTGTGTGGGAGGGATGTCAATAAGACCGTTAATCCCTTTAGAGGTAAATTGCAGATATTTAGTCATGAACGAGGACAAAATAAGAATATCATATACTTATGCAAACGATGGGTAGGAACGGGTAATGAGTAAGATGACTGTACTTCCTAACTACCATGAAGGGGCTTTTGCAGGTCATGATGAATGACTTTGGCGATTGAACTGCAGGTGATCTGCAATCATCTTAGGAATATCTGCAGGATAAATAACAAACAAGATTCTGCCTGTCCATTCAGAATCACATGATGCAGGTCAAATACAGATTCTAATACAAAAAGGTAGAAAAAAATGTTTGCTTATTTACATGATATGAAGTTGGCGTGTGAAATAAAATCATGTCTATTTTGTATTTACACTTGAGACAAAGACTGTTTATGCGAATGCCATATTTGATAGAACACCTTCTTAGCTCTGTCCCCTGAGCTTTGTTGTATAATAATGTAATACAAAGTTTTTCGTCTATACTAAAAGTTTTGCTTCTTAAATATGGGCACCTCTAATCGTTCGCTGTAAGACTACAAAATATTAAGTTACTGCAAAATATTTATTACATAACATGCTGGTAATCATTATAAATGGATTTTTTTCTTTATCAGTGGATTTATGTTACACTTTATCAGTATCGTTTCGAATGGCAAATCCACTTTCACTGTATTGGAATTAACTCTAGGTTCGCGGGATTGGTATGTTGTGTTTCTGAATAGCGTCAGTCATGTAACAGTGATTATGTTTATCTTCATTGTCAGAGTAGAATTTATAGCTGATTAACAGAT